GCTCCCCCCGGGGGGGGGGGGGGGGGGGGGGGGTGGGGGGATATACAATTGGATCCACAATGAAAAAATATATCAACAAGGGAAGTTAATTTTGTGTGATGAATTTTTGGGCAATTACCTGAATCCACTCCCCTCACTTTGCACGTGTATGTATGGATGACAAGTCATCACGTCAGAGTTGTTTTTTAAATTCTTGATCGGAACAAATCATGAGCTTATTAAATATTGTATTGTCAAACTAACGAAACTGCACCAAGTTCATGTCCTTGAGGTCTTCAATGTTGATTCTCGTTACGATTTTGGTCCGTCAATATGAATGCCTGTATTGTGGGTGAATGTGGGTTTCAGGTAAAAATAGGAAAATACGCTAATAGTCTTTTGCTGTACACACCTTTCTTAATCCACAATGATTTCTTTATGAATGTATTGGCTTTAAGGTACATGAGACATTTAAAATATTGATGGGGAGAACAAAATAATGCTACTTCGAACTATCTCTTCAATTCAGTATTGTTTAAAAAATTAAGTTGTATACTTGTATTCTATCATCATTTTAATTATGATACCCGTAGATATTTACTGTGATTTGGAGGGGAAAGGGGTGCCCATTTGATATCTCAGATGACAGTGCACTGTGCATTGTTTTATTTCTATTTTCCCATTGTCAAAAACAAACTCCACGCAGCTCGTTTTTTATTTATTCTTGTGTTTATCGTAATGAATTCCGTGTTGAATAACATAGGGATCGTATATGGACATTATGTGAAACTGAAACACATGGTGGATACCAGAAGGAATAGAACATTTGTAATGAAAAAGTCTGTTAGTAAACAAAAGAAATGTTTTCGTCCTCCAAATTAATTTAAGTTATGCTCTATTTTCATAACTTGAAATGGTTCATTCATTTGAAACCAGAATGTGTTAGCGAGGTTGTCATGGAATAAATCTTATGCTGCAATCTACCTTCTAAAATGTAATCCATGCTTGTTATTGGCATTGTGTTTAATTAACATTTCCCTTCCCCTAAAATTTAATTTAATCGCAATTTTTGGGGGAGATTTTGAGATTTGCGTATACTCATGAAAGTGAACCAACCAAGAATGTCAATGTCCCTGAAGTGTGTTTTCGGGAAAATGATTTAAGGAACATTTCATTTTACTTTAAAAAAAAAAAAAGATACTAAATCTTAATTGGAATATTTGCGACAAGAGAGAACTTCGACATTCTCTTATCCTCATAGCATAATCCATCCTCATACATAATCCATACTCATAGCATAATCCATCCTCATAGCCTAATCCATTCTCATAGCCTAATACATCCTCATAACATAATCCATACTCATAGCATAATCCATCCTCATAACATATTCCATACTCATAGCATAATCCATCCTCATAACATAATCCATATTCATAGCATAATCCATCCTCATAACATAATCCATACTCATAGCATAATCCATCCTCATAAAATAATCCATACTCATAGCATAATCCATCCTCATAACATAATCCATCCTCATAACATAATCCATCCTCATAGCATAATCCATCCTCATAACATATTCCATCCTCATAACATAATACATCCTCATAACATAATCCATACTCATAGCATAATCCATCCTCATAACATAATCCATCCTCATAACATAATCCATCCTCATAGCATAATCCATCCTCACAACATAATCCATCCTCATAACATAATCCATCCTCATAACATAATACATCCTCATAACATAATCCATCCTCATAACATAATCCATCCTCACAACATAATCCATCCTCATAACATAATCCATACTCATAGCATAATTCATCCTCATTTTCAAGGCGACACATATTTCCTTAACAAGATTAGAGTCCTGATTGAACCAAATAGATGGATATGTTTTTTTACTACTTTGTAAATATTATTTTTCAAAGCATAACTAAATACATATTTTAACCAAGACAATATCTTACAGTTATGAAAATTTAAATGCAAGACATTTAAAATATTTCTATAGGGAAAAAATCAGCTATCAACGAACTCCTTTAGTGAGAGTAATGATTTAATTAGTGATCATTTAGATTTGGTAACCGCTGGAGGAGCACGCTGGTGAATTCCTACAGTCTGGGAACAAAAGAATTTGTGTATCTTAAGTCCCAACTTCAATAGAAAAGATGAACACTGAGCGAGCTGATCTTCGGCATCTGTGATGAAGGGGGTGGGATGTATCACCAAAAAGATAATATTTTTACATCATTTTTATTGAAATCACCATCATGACATTACTAGCATAACACCCAGGGCCGGCGTCAGAGTATTTGGCGCCCTATGCAATCCTGTCGCACTGCGCCCCCCGCGCCCATGGCAACTAATTATTTATTTAATATTAACTTTCGCAAGTGAATACTGTGCTGCCGTCTGTTTCAATTCGTATTTACATTCCATAGAATCTATATATGTATAATGGTATATTATGTAATTTCACAAATTTATTTTTTCACGCTTTTGCTTTAGCAAATGTAGAAACGAGTGCCATCAGCTCAATGTCTCTAGCAATTTCATGTTCAATTGACAGAGTAGCAAGTCCAACAAGTCTTTTTTGTAGCATGGATGTTTGCAGATATGTTTTTATGAGTTTGAGCTTCGAGAAGCTTTGTTCACCACTAGCCACAGAAACTGGAAGTGTCAAGAGGATTCACAGAGCTATAACAGTGGT